CAAGCTCTCGGACAAGCATTGAGCATACAGTGCTTATTGATATACGTTGGGTAAGGGCAAACCTATTATATATAAGTACAATGTTTAAATGATCACTTAACTGATTTTAAAGTTTCTGTCTATTTAAAAAAAACAATGAAGGAGCAAATTTCAGTGAAATCTCACCCCTGAGCCACGGTCACATAACCTGGAGGACAACCACAGATGAAGCTCCCTGGCAAGTTCTGGCATCCATAGGAGCAGGGCTGGTACCCACCACCAAATCCAGTGGCACACTCATTGACATCTGATATGGAGAATGCAAGATTGGGAATTGGCCATTGTTAGTATCATATTTAGAAAAAAAAAATGATGGGAACAGAAGGGAGTGGTAATCTAGATTCCTGAGCACTTCCTTTTCTGCCTGTTTACTTCGCAGTGATGGCTTGGTATAGTGAAGGGGCAACACGGGTGGATGAGAAGGTGAACACACCGGCAACCCACCCCCACCTGTTCCCACAATTGATTTTTTCCCCAACAAATCACATGTAAAGACATTTTTTCCCCCAAAATGTCTCCCTCAAACTCTCAGATTTCACCAGAGTGAAAAGTGTTCAAACTTAACGATGTATTTACATTCTTGAACTTCTTCCCCAACACATTCCCCATCATCAAGTAAAATAAGCCCAAAACTGCAAGGATACAAGCATCAGAAAAACCCATGGCTCCCCATAGAAAGTACGGGGCAAGATTACAAAAATGTGGAATTATATCGGAACTATCATGAGGCAGTGTGGGGAAGGCAATGGCGATATATGGGGGAACCCCATGGGTATACATGGGGGTTCCCATTGAAATATTGGGGTAAACTCCATGGAGGATATATGGGGGACCCCATGGGTGACCTTCAAGGGTAATTGATGTCCAATTGGAAAGTAATTGAAAACATGGGGTAATTTTACATGTGAAAATCCCATGGTGTCCAAATCACCATGAAATTCCCGATGGGGAAATTCCCACAGGGTTTTGTACAGGAGATTTTTTTGTAAGGAATACTCTAGAGTATCCAGAATGTTCAACTTTTGGGGTCTCTTTGTGTCATTTGTTCTGTATTTTTACAGCAACTTTCACATTGAGTTTTGGCCCTCGTACCGGCCACTTGTTCAGGTGTAGAGTTTGAAGCACTTTGGGTTAACCCCCTCCCCCAATTCACAGGCCTTGCATCAGTGCAGTAGGGGACACTTTTTCCATTATGAGCCTAAAAAGTAAGCGTACACTGTCAACCCCTCACTCATTATTCTGACATCTCCGTCACTGTCCATCAGTTACAAGCTACAATTCAAAGCTTTCAAACAGGCACATTCTATTGCTAATCAACACTTCGAATATGACAACAGCAAAAAACAATTTGTTTTTATGTGTCACTCCTTCAGTTGTTCTACAATACAAAAAGCCCCCCCAATATATATCCACTGTGTAGAAGGATAACTTGTGTGATATGCTGCATTACAATACCTCATATATATTCATGCTTGAGAGCCAAATATTTGTACTTGTGCATGGGGGCAAGTGTATGGGAGGTGCATGCACACGTATTTTATGAAAATCCATTAAAGGCAGTGCATAGGATTTGCAAGATCTCAAAACAGAACTGTCAATTTATCTTGAAATAACTTTATTTTATAAAAGGGAATAAATGTGTGCTTGGATGGTCTTAAACGTGCATTTAAGACCAGCTCAGGAGAATGGATGCGACTCATGCCCGTGCCGCAGGCGAGGGCATTATCAGCAGTCATTCTCCTGAGCAAGGTCTTAAACATTAGTTTAAGACTGGCCAAGCACATATTAATTCCCATTAATAAAGACCTTTTTATTCAGAGAGTCAAAACAAGTCAACTTTTGATGGATTTCCAATGATTTCATTCTCAAACAAAACCCTCAATTTTGAGACCTTTAGCTTTCTGTATTTCCAATAACAGTAACTCTCATGCCCGAGGATGTTACCATTTTGTTTATTTTTAAAGTGTTTATGACGGCACTGATGGTGTGTGGACAGTTATGGACTGACATACATACATGTGGAGAGTGAGTAATGACTGTGTGGTTGATTGTGAACACGTACATGCACATGTAGTCTACATGTACATTTATATGAGGTTGCACAGCCAGTGACTATGGTGACTGTAGTCACTTCACTGTCTCCGCCCGATGAAACGTATGACAAAGTTTGACAAAGTCTGCTTTGTTGAAGAGGAAACACAAACTTGAAGGTAAATTTGCCAACCACTAGTACTACGTGAAGCCAAATGGAAAAATGCATTTTTGAGGGCCTAACCATGATAACCGGTCTGCAGATCGACCTCGCCTGTGCATTGTACAGGCACACAGAAAGGTCCAGTGGCACATGGATTTTTGTGAGACAAATTACACAAGCCATGCTTTGAGGGTTAAAAGAGACAGTGTTTTTCTCAATTTTTCTCAAGGCAGTGATCTCAAAAGATGAAAAAAATTCATGGAATCATACACAAAACAAATCACAAACCCCAAAATCGGCCAAATTTGGACAAATTGCAGTACATACAAATCCTATACACTACCTTAAAGCTGATGATCAGAAAATATTGCAGCAAATTTCTGTGCTTAGAAAAAAAAATCAACTAAGATAAAAAAAATCAAGTTAGCACCATGATGGCAATACTTTGCATACCCCGAGCTTTCCTTTGTCAGCACCTACCTGTACACACCAAGTTCTGTTGGTCAAAGTTGTAGCCACCAGAGCAGCCACAGCGGTACGAGCCCTCAGTGTTGTAGCAAGTGGCCTGACCACACACACCAGGCTGATTACACTCATTGTCATCTGCAGAATGAAACACAAAAAGCAAGTCTCATTACAGGCTCTGACATACAGTAAAGCAGTAAAACATCTTCTAACAATCCAATTTTTGGGGATTTCCAACAACTTGTCGGACAAGTTATTGAAGAAAAGTAAGATTTGTATGAATTCCAGTGAATTTTTTTTTAAGTGTCTCTTGTATACTTTTTTGGGATTTTGTATTGATTTCTCTTTAAATGATCCAAATATATTATAAATCCCAAACTATAGTCCCTACAACAAAAAAGGGACAAAAGAATGCATCTTTCAATTTGCATTTGATTCCATTACTGTGTCATTGCTTCACCGTCAGTGGTTGTTGAGGAACAAGCCACGTGGAACCAACCACTGATCGTGAGCTTACCAATGCAGCGATTCCAGTAATAGTGCTGGGAGAATCCATCGGGGCAATTACAGCGGTATCCTCCGACTGTGTTACGACAGCCATATTGGCACCTGTTAGGCTGTGTCTGACACTCATCAATGTCTGACAGCAAAAGAAAAGTGATTAGTGACATTCAGCTAAAACTTCAGCAAGTTTTCCACAAACTTTGCAAATTTTTTTTCCATTTTTTTCTGAATTCCCTTTTAACTTTCTAAAAATCAGCTTTTCAAATATGATACATATGTTCCTTTTTTGTCACACCCAGAATTAAGTCACATTCAGCAAGCCTAGATATGTAGTTTGCAGATAGCCGCCTTGAATAGATAGTAGTCAGATTTGCTGCAGCCTCTTCCTTGGCTGTCAATTACAGCCCTTGGGTAAGGGCAACTAACTCCTATCTGCATCTGGGATTAATAAAAAATGACTTACCCACACACTTCTTGCCCGTGGGGTCCAAGGTGAAAAAACGTTGGCAGTCACAGGTGTAGCCATCTGCTGTGGTGCGACAGGTGCCATATGGACCACAGATATCAGGAGATACAGCGCACACATCAACATCTGCAATGAACAAACACAGATGATCATCAGGCATAGGCCTACAATAAAAATCTGTGTTAGATTCTTGTTAGTAGATGATGCAGCAAAACGTTCCAACATTATTGATATATCTAAGCATTTACTATTACCTTTCATTAAATCAATTTTCAGAAGTGGAGGATTTTTAAAGAAATAATGACATTCCTGAAATATGTGTAATCTGCTCATCAAAAAGTGGGATACAGAGCTAGACAAGACTCCCAAAACTCAGTTACATGCAAACTGTTTTCTGAATATTATTTTTCTAATTTAATATTCATTCCATTTAACAGTTTTTGAAGAAAGAGGAAGGACACCTCAAGCTCCTAAAAAAATCCCAACAGGCATTCATGTTACATGCAATACCTACAAATGGGTCAAACTATCACGGTTGACACAATGACAGAAGCTGAGCCTCCTACTTACGGATGCATGAGCCATCCTTCGGTGCCATGCCATCAGGGCACCTACACTCGTACCCACCCACGGTGTTGAAACAATCAAACTGGCAGTCATGAGTTCCTAGTACACACTCATTCACATCTTAGAATTAGAGAACACAAGTGAAGGGATTGTCAAATATATAAAACATGTCCTGTCAAAATAAGAGTGCTTCAGGCAGAACTTAAAATGGAACTACAATGAAAAAGACCTGCTTTTTTCAGTTTTTAATTGCTATTTGTGCCCCCCCCGCATTTGTGCTCCTTGATATGTCCGAAATTTTATACACAATTTTAAGACTGTAATTACATTTAATTCCTCTCAAGGTGATTTTCGTCCAGTGATCTATACAGGTGCACTAGTTGCAAGAACACATCTCTTTTGGCTAGCTCAAAGAAAGTTTCTGACATTTACTAATTTTATCAGCCTAAGAATTTCCCATGCAGATGTACCCACACCTACATGATTTGGTATTGCCTCAAGCAGGAGACCTTGGGAGACCTCAAGTTGAAACCACAGTTTACAGCGTAATCACACTGTTTTCGCTGTTGGGACATAAAGTAAGCACAACTTTGCAAAGAAGAGTGTGTTTTCAAAAATGAAAACCCTGATTGCAAGGGGGGGAGACTCTAACCATATTTTTAGAACCTACTCAAGTACTCATGCCAAGCTACCCAGAAGAGTTAATATTACAAGAACTGTATACATTCTATACAAGCTAAACACTTCGCCATTTTCCTGGTGTGTCTATGTATAGAACAAGCAGAGAATAGGCCTAGCTATGTGTACTAATGACATTGAAATGTGTTCCATATAAGCTTTCCTTCAAAGCTTCAAATCTGTCTTCCCACCTGGGTCCCATAAGAAAGTGTACTTGTAAACAAAGCATGACATCATTAATACAGATCAAGGCCTATTCATTCTTCTGGGACTCAAGCACAACTCACCAACACAGGTCACTCCATCTCTACCCCTGGTGAATCCCTCTTGGCAGTCACAGGTGTAGCTACCAACAGTGTTCTGGCAGCTGTGGGGGCATGGGTTGATGTCACGGCTACACTCATCCTCATCTGCAACACACACGTGCACATACAAAAACAATTTTCTATAGGTTACTTCCTTTTCAGAATGAGTGACATTTGAGAGCACTTGCAGTGATGTGTTGTGCTGCTCCAAGAGAGTTTGTAGCGGTTCAAAAGCCTTGCAACTCTTTTTCAATTCAATGTGCAGAGTAAGTGAACACTGTAAGCCCATCATTAAGTGACCTGAACCTTTCTTCACTACCTTTCATTAAAGCCGTCCAGACAAGGCTTCGACTATTGCAATATCTGGGGTTTGGGAGGTAGATTGGTAGCCCAGAACCAGTATGCAATGAATGTATCTGCCAAAAATCAACATGAGAGAAATAAGATGCAATTTCTTTCCACAATTGTGGAAAGAAATTGCATCTTATTTCCACAATTGTGGAAAGAAATTGCATCTTATTTCTCTCATGTTGATTTGTGCACAACCAACTGGGCCGTTTTTGGAAACATGAGGTCAAATTTTGTGTTTGTGTTGGGTTGATGACGTAACAGGGAAAAAGACACAACAGGCATGCATGAAGCATGCATGAAGATACATGCAAGTGCAGCCCCAATGCATAAAGACAAGGAGTTTTAATGACGTGCAGAAAATGCAAAATATTAAACATTAATCTCTAAGATGGATAAACCTAAAATCTTACTCTAAGCTGGTCGAAATAATTGCAAGATCTGTTCCGAAATGAAGGAGTATAAGATATTGAAGGTGAAGAGGAACATACTTTGCTTGGCATACATATGAGAGTGCACTCTTGTTCACGTACAGTAGTAACGGACTATTCATACACCACAGAGAATATTGTGTAGGAGTATAAAGACCAGAATCTTGGGCTGAATCGCGGGCAAGCATGTATGTGTGTACATGTGAAGCTTCTAGAAAAAGACAACAACCCACGTGCGAACTTGTTTGCCAAGTCCATAATTTTCAGTGTGTCTAATAAAAGAGAAATACACGAATCAGATTCTTCTCGAGAAAGTGAGCGGATTCAATTCTGAGGACAGGAACTATAATTTACTTGTTGATGAATGAGGACAACAGCAGGGAATCTGTCAGTAATGGGGGGGGGGCTGTTGTGACAGTCCCAAACCTGGTGGTGGCCCAGCAGCACAGCATCGTACACCGGCAGCTCCAACACAACACGAGCAGTCGGCGAGGCTTATGCATCACTTTTCTAACTTCGAAGTGCTTTTGCAGATGCTGGATATTTGTCAAAGCAGTCCTAAAAAATCCTTGGCACATTACTTATCTGTGACAACCAGGAAGGTTTGAAATCTACCCTTATTGCCCGGGAATGATTAATTTAATGTGTTATTGCAAGGAAACCTCGTCTCAGTGTACGAGATTCCTGTTCAAAACTACAAACAGCACCATTAAGACAGGAGAGTATGTTATGTTTTATGACGAAAATACAACAAATCATGCACATAAACTTGATGGATGGAACAATCAACGTAGTGGACAAGAACTGTGTAAGACTATTGCACTTTGAGCATGCTTCTACAGTTCTACTGTGAGACTTGCGTGTGAAGATCCACACTGCAAGCCCGCTGCCTGACCAGAGACTGGGCAGGTTCATCAAACCCAAAAGTGGAACTTTGGGCACTGTGATCACATCTTTTTATACGAAGGCCTATCATAATGCCCTTTGCCGGGAACACAACATCAACAAGTTCCATGTTTTTTGCAAACCGAAGGATGCATGTTAGACTTGCATAGCCCCCCTATGGGTGGCCAAAAGGGTCACAATTAATCCAAATATAAAACCAACACTTGAGCTGAAAACAAAACATAGTTAACAGAAATTAAAACTAAATACCGAGAAACGAAAATGAAAAAGCATTTTCCACAATATTTTTAGAAACTTGGAGGAAATCGGTGCTCAAATCTCAAATTGTGTTAAAAAATACTGAGTCCAGTGTACATGTGTATGTTTTGTAATTGTCAAATTTCCTTTTTAGTGATTTTTAAATAAACATTTGTAAGTTGTGTTTCAAGGGATATTTCACATTATTCTATCAGTTTAGTCCTTTAATACTTTCTCAAAATATATTAGAAAATGCTTTTTTATTATTCACGGCGTATTGTAAATTGGCCTAATGCATATGAATTCGCTCTTCACTCAGCACCTTGCATTGGGTGCTAGGTGACAAGTGAATGATATGAATATGATTATTACAAATATCTCGGAAAATCCCACAAAAAAGAAGTTATAAAAAGTGATAAATTCTAGTAAATCATTATTACCTCCACTCACCTAACTAAAAATGGTAAAAAAATATTGAGGTGTATTTCATTTTGCACTTCAGAAAAAAAATCGGAAAATCAGACCGGATTAATGTCAACGGAACTTTGTAGTGGATATATGAAAGCGACATATCTGAATCAGAATATTTGGAGTTTGATTACATTTCACCTCTTGTGAAATTGGAGGTAAAATATTGTTCCATACACAAACATCCAAAGCAAAAATTTGAAGTGCCCATAGGGTCCGTGCCACTCTCCAGAGTGCATTCTTCAATTTGTAACGTGAAGCAGCGCGTGAACCAGTGTTTTCATTAAACCTAAACTTTCTCAAGTCCTTGAAATTATTTTAGTGTCCTTGCTGAGTGGGCCATGCAGCAATTCTTTTTAAGACCAGTAAAATGATAAACAACATGGATTACACAACCGTAAAAGACAAAACGAACAGATGTACCACACAATTTGTGAGGTGTGAACGGTACTTACGGTGCATTTACAAGTCTATTCAGTCTTTCTGGACTGGTTTCCTTCATTTCCAACATGTGAGTAGAGCCAATGTAAACAGTAACCAATGAAAACATGACTGCCTTGTCTCTAGACCCAGAACGCTGCGCCGCTGGTATGCGTGGCTGGCCGGCCACGGCATGCATCGGCGGTCCAGGTTCGGCTGCACTGCAGGCATGGCGCAGCATTTAGTGACTGATTTCATTCTTTAAATGTTGCCATATAAACTACCCGTAGTTCATTATAAACTGCAGCGACATTTTCCGCGTGAGGATCAATGTATATATTGCGGCTTATATTCCGAAAATTACGGTATATTAAAATGATATATTTATTAAAAAAACACCAACAAGTGGAACTCAGAAGCGAGCGGGGGGGGGGTTCATTCAACCCCCTCCCCCCCAGCCTACGAGCCTGCACTGTTTACAGCTGTATCTCCCTGTGACATTTGGGGTCACCAGAAGATCATAAATACAAAATGAGTGTTTCTGGAATCTGCAAAAAAAAAGGACTCAACAAATCCCTTTTTTTACATTCTTTCGACCATAAATGGGACAGCTTTCCATTTTTTCAAATTAATTTTGGAAGATGGTCTTTTCAGCTGTTGTTTAAAGGTTATAATTGGGGAAAGGAGGGTTTCTTTACCTTGCCTCTTTAATTTCCTGGTAAAATTTGAGGGAGAACATACTACTACCAAATTGGCACAATCTATAGCCAATAAAAACCTGGACTTTTGACAAGCGCAATAGAAAATTCTGCCCTTAATAATGTGTCTCTCCTGAAACTATTTTAAGAAACAAACAAAACAAAAAAGTGCCCCCCCAAATAAAAAAAACCTTTTGTATCGAAAGATAACTTGTGTGAAATGCTACCTGACCACACACGTTCACGTTGTGAACTTAATTCTCACTGGTCAATTCACTATCACAAGCCTCTGCATTGGAACTCAATGAACAAGTTCCTTCTGCTTTATCTCAGGAACTAGTTTGTCATCTTCCAATTGGGAGCTAACATCGACTATCAACCTTCAATCCATGTTACAGTTGTGTATTAAAGCACATGCTTAGGCACAAACACCCCTCACCTGTGAAAAAGAGAAAGGCTACAGATGGACTGATGGACTGAATCCTATTGCAGCCATACACTCTATGCAATCTCCATATTGTGACTCACTGATATCCATGAAAATTTAGTTGTCCTTACTTTGCTTGCATGCAGGCAGCATGTAACTTCAATGGGATGTTGACTGCTAAGTAAGAAAGCGGCCTGTCACTCTCATGCATGTACTCACCGACACAGCGAGAGCCGTCGGGTGTCAGCACGTAGCCAGTATGGCACTGGCAGATAAAGCCACCCTGAGCTGCAATGCACTGACCGTTGGCACACAGGCCGATGATGGTGGTGCAGGGGTCCGTGATTGGCGGGCCAGAGTCTCGGCAAAGGTCATTGAACTCAGCTGTAACACAAGATAGATGCGACAAATGGCAAGAAAATGATGCAGTCATCAATTATCAAGAAAATGAAACAATTAACAGCATTTAAAACATATAAGGTACTTTCCCCTGATGATCAAAAGTTCATATGTCATTCCTACAGCAATCTCTCCATGCATAGTAGCCTTACTACAAAATTTAATGAAAAATCAGCAGTACAAAGATATCAGATTATATATTTTCTCCAGTTCCTGAAAATTAAAACAATGACAAACTCATCAGGCTTTTCGTTTTTTCCACTTTCAAGATGGCCACCATTTCAGTTTACATTTTCGACAACCACTGGTATTTCTACATTTCAAAGACACAAAATTGAAGCATGTGGGACACGAGATTTGAACATATTGAAGTGATTTATACAGTCTGTAGCAGTGGTTTCATAAGAATTTAAACATATTTTCTCACATGAGCGCAGTTGCAAATTGCAGCCACTGGCAAGTGTTTGGGTATGGCCATATAAAGACATATTTGGAGATAACACAGTGCACTGCATGCATGGTGTGGAAAGTGACCGATATTGAACTTGATTTGTTTTTACTCTGCTATTTATGTGAGCTGTGGCAGCTACTTCAACATAGCCATCACCAACTGACAAAGCTGTTATTGTCTCTTGATTTCAATGACGAAAATAATTGCATATACGTACGAGTGGCGAAGTTGGGGCATTCCTCACACTGAGGTCCCCAGGCAAGCCCACCGCTGCAACAGCAAGAATCTCGGGTGACTGGTACTGTGTTAGCTGGTGCACTGCAAGGGCCATCAGTAGTGGCATAGCACACACCAGTACGCTGATCTGTTATGGGGTGGGATCACAGATTGCACAGAAAACCATTTGTATCAATGTGCATGTAAATGTATAGGCAATTTTCAAGAAAAAATTCTAGAGGACCAACATATCACGTATTCTAGAATTGATCAAGTACGAGTGGCTTTACTTTCTTGTATTACACTCAACGATGGTATCATGTTTGAATTTTAGCACTCAGAACGTATTCCTTGTTAAGTGTATTTAATTTTCATTACCCACCTTTATTGAGGTTCCCAAAGTGGTGATCATACAGAGCACTTTTATAATTCCTTCCTTTGTTTTTAACAAAGAATCTTTTTTAACAAACAACAATCTACGTAAAGAGCTGTCCTGAAAACTACAAGAATAGTATCTGAGAAGCATATTTTGTGGTTGGTTTTACAATTTTTGTTCTAAACCTTATATACTAATTGGCTATCAAAACCACTATGAATACAGACAGCTACATGGATGTTTCACCTCAAACAAAGGTCACAAGCAAAGTAGTGCATCTGATAAGAAGCTATTGAGTATACCTTTGCATTGCTTTCCATCAAAGCTTGGGATATATCCTGTGTTACAGTCACACCTGTAAGTACCTTCCATGTTAATGCAGCGGCCATTACTACAAGGATAGTCCAGGCATTCATTGATATCTGTAGGACAAAAGAACTTAAAATTCATGTCCACATCTTGTAGCATGATTGGCGCAGCAACACTCCTAGAATGTTCAAGAATGCATGAAGCACGGCAAATACAAAACAAGAAAACAGCTGATCAGAAGAAAAATTGCCTGACATTACCCAATCCTGCAACAATTAGTCAATTGTGCAAAGCCAACAAGTGGCAAGGAGTCGAAGAGTAAAACCTAGGTTTAACGTTGAAAATAAGATCCACAGTATAAACTAGCAATCAATTCAAAGGTTACACTTCATCATTCTGTGTGGTTGTAACTGCTATATGCCTGACATATCTTGATTTGAATAACACATTTCATCGATCACTTCAGGAAATAGCTTTGGGGCAGACTGACCAAAAACATATCATTTTTTATAATCAGGCGTAACTAGTTTGCATCACTTTGTATTTATGCACAAAATGGTAGAACAACACACACCTTTGCACATGTTTCCGTTGCCACCCATGATGGAGTAGCCCTCTGGACAGGTGCACATGAACTTGCCGATCAGGTTCTTGCACATGTAACGGCAGTTGTTGGCGGAAGTCTGGCACTCATCCAAATCTGGTCCAAGAATTACACAGAGATGTAAGTGGCAAACTGGCGTATTGAAGTAAATGTTAAAATGTGCACCCAAGTTGGAAATTACAGAAACTGGACAACTAACCCATCCAATTGCTGGCCAAAGTACAGTTCTGGTACAACAAAGCAGCCAAGTCCCAAACTAACGTTACAGTTCCCTCTGAATAATTGATTAGTGTGCTTGATGTGGTTTACTTCATGATGTACGCTGTACACATCTCTTGGCTTTAATATTTCAATCCAAGAAGAATCTTTGTGAAAGACCATTGATTTCTGCTGAGATCAAAATACAAGCCCTCAGAATTTTTGAAATTTCTACATTTCAGGCCACTCCAAACAGTAACAAGTTTACGACTCTTTTACTTGTTTCTGTTCTCTTGTAGCATATGAAAAATGATTTAAACGGATTATTGCAAATGATAATAACGAGTCATATCTCAGCACATGATTTATGTAGAAATGCATTAATGAGCTATCATTTTCAGCAGTTTTCTCCAAAATGAAGCTCTAGACTATCGAGGTGCATTTTAGGGTGTGATTCACTTACCTCGGCAGTGTCTTCCATCATCGGTGATCACGAATCCGTGGGGGCAGATGCAGCGGAAGGACCCAGGAAGATTCTGACAGCGGAAGGCACAGTAGTCACGGTCACGACGGCACTCATCAATATCTGCCCCAGAAGAGAACACTTCAATTCAGATTGGCAAGGATTTGGTTCCAAGTGTCAGTATGCCCCTGCGACAAATGCTCAGTTTAATAGTTACTGCATTATCATATGGATGGGATATTTTAATCTCTACTTACATCTATGTGTTTTCCCTGGAGATTGCAACTGGTGTTTTATTCCCATCCAAACATAAACATTTATTTAATGATATTTGTTCACAAGTTTCTACATGCTTACAAAATCTTTCAAGAAATTGGCACTTTTACAAAAAGTATACTTATGATCTAACACAAGCTGTGATAAAAGCTATGAAAAAGATTCTTGTCCTTCAACGCAAAAAGTTATAGATCATTTGCATGACACGCTTTGCAGCCATCTTGGAGGAGTACTTTTTAAAAGGGTTAAATATGAGTAATTTCACCGTTCTGGAATTAAAATACATCTCCTTCAAATGTCTCTGAGATAGCTGCTGCATGTAAAGGATCTGCTCAAGGAGATATATGTCATTCCACGTATAACTTATTTAAAAAAACAGAATGTTTGAAAAATGGACTAGAAATACAACATTAAATGAACGCTGAAGTTTTGCTGATGACAAAGTGGAAACCTACCATCCATGATGTTACTGCTGTAATCTATCTTACCGTGGCATTTTCCGTTGCGTCCTTGCTGGTATCCTTCACCACAGATGCATTCATAAGAACCAGCTGTATTTACACAGGTAGAATTGTAGCCACAGGCACTCAGTGAGTTCTCACACTCGTCCACATCTAGACAACATACAAGCATTGTTTTTCCAGTATCAAGTATGACCGTGAAGTTTTACCAGTGATTAAGTAGCAATTGCACAGCAAGGAGGTGTTTCCATTGACCTGTTTCTCATCTACTCATGTTTAAACTCATCAAATACAATGTAAACTGTTTAACTTATTATGGAACACCTGAATCCTGCAGGCATGTCAGCATAAATACCATTAATTTTCAGAGTTTGAACCAGATTTCCCACAACAAGGAATGCATAGTGAATGACTGTTTAAACCCAATCATTTTGGACAATTAACATAGTTCACTGTGCATCAGCAACAAGCTTTCCCTTTGATCCACAATATTTTTAAGGATTCCTTTTTCCAAAAGCCTTTAATGGGCATATGTGTGCTCCATTCCATTACTCAAAAAACATCCAACCCCTCTATCAGTTTCACTGGCTCTTACCAACACAGGCGTGGCCTGTCTCATCCAAGACAAAGCCCAGATCACATTCGCAGCGGAAGGAGCCATCCATGTTGATGCAGTAGCCATTGCTGCAGATGTCTGGGAACTGTTTGCACTCATTGATGTCCTCAAAGATGTCTGGGAAAACTGTGGGGGCATAGCCCTGCCCCTTCTTGCAGAGATCAATATACCTCGCTGCCAAACATACAAAGATTTGTCAGTAAGCCATATTGCCATTCCAAACACACACAAAATGAAGCCCATTATTACATGCGAGTCCAGCACGGCCATAGGCCAAATCACACACAATGAACGAGGCTGAAGTGGTATCATGTCAGGGACTTTGTTCTGAAATGACCATGTCTTTTTGAAAAAAGCACAGTTAGCACACACTCCATCATTTCTGCACAAAATACATAAGTGACAAAATGCATGTGAAAAACAGCACAGCCATGGAATGCTTTCTTATATGCGTATACCTTACACCTGTTTTACGTAAGAGCAATATGAAATCTGAGTAGAATGACAATTGTGAGACCTAAAAATTACATCATTGGTTTCAATTTCAAGTTACTATGGAAGCCACTTCCATGGACATGCCAAAACATTTCTCATTGAGATTTGACTATCCCACCCATCCCCTAGTCCAAGAAACTCGGACTGGGGCCATCTTCCCAATCTTCTTTCTAATTTGGTCAGCTATCATGAAGTACCACTCCTGTAACACTTTGCTTCAGTGGTCAACTGTTCATTGGCCACAATTTTCTCTAGCCGCCTGAGTGACATCTGGGACATCATACGACTGAGTGAACTGTCACATTACAGCATCCTCAGGCCGTGTCCGAAACGGGCTTCCAGAGCTACGGCTAGGTCTATTGTCTACGCATCTCCGCACATTTCCAATGGAGGGAAGACCTAGACCTAGCTCTAGACAACAGATTCGGATGCAGCCTCAGTCTGTGCAGTCTTGAGTAACAGTCTAATAGTCTTACATGATTGTGGTAGAGGGCAAACCTCACAGGGTATGCCCCAGCCAGATCCCATGCTACAGCAGCAGGCAGTCAAGGTGTGATTGCCCATCAGTGGGGCCACGCATTGGCCCCTCTCAAAGCCAGTGAAGCAAGTCAGCTCACGCATGTCTACATTAGGAGAATACAAAGAAATCAGATGATAAGCTCAATTGACAAATTTCACATTATCACTAACACTCACAGTGCTCATTGCTAAACCAGCACTGGAGACATTTCCTTTTGTTCAGTTTTAGTTGCAAAAGGGAGCAGTGAGTTTCTTGATTTCAAGGTGCACTCCATCACTTGTCACTTGTACATTGTATTCCTTTAAGGCAACCAAAGTGCTCAAAATCTAAAGAAGGGTGCCCAACAACTAACCTGATGACGTTTCAACTCAGTGTATGCTATAGATTCCAGGAAAACAGTATTCCAGGATCTCTACTTCAAATCAAAGTTGCCAACTCATGTTTTGAATTGTGCACATATTCAGCATCTGGGAAACCATCCCATTCAGCTGAATGCAACTGCACAATGTCGCACACTGAGTCAATAAATTATAGTAATTGCACATACTTGTGTGTCAAGTTAACCGCTACACATGCTTCACATGAATTAAAAACTAACTACTTACAGCAAGTTCAAATAATGCATCTTTTGACACATAGTTGGAAATGGCCTTCTTTCATTTCTTCAAAATGGCAGCTTGCCAGAAACTTCACACGGAGTTAAGTCCCATAACCATCTCTAAACCACGATAATTTTATAAGTTACTTTTTTGAATGACTACACATGATGGGCTGTACCTTGCAAATACCATAGACATTTTCTTGATACCAGCTGTTTCAATTTTCAGACCGAGTCTTGAGCTAAAAAGTATATTCATTAATGGAATTAAGCATAGACATCTATCACGTAAATAGCATCAGCAGGACAACTTTATATTGGATGAGAGGGGGATGGTGCATTACAAACATCTCCATAGTAGGGATATATAAAATGGAGGCCACAGCCATACTTTTCCAAAGGTCTAGAACAATTGTCCCTGTCATGAGGAAGCACGGCCTCCCCCTCCCTCCTCTGGCCCAAAAATTTGAACAGGAAAAAGGGGGAGAAATGAGAAAAAATGAAAGAAATAACCAAGTTGCTTGGAAAAAAATTCAAAATTGACACCCTCTAGCCATAAAATGTTGATCAATTTTTAGCTGATGAGCACTCCCCCCCCAAAAAAAATCCAACTACCATGGCTAGCCAGCAACCATTCTTGTGATGCTCACTCACCCACACACGTCAACCCATCACTGGTGGGCATGTAGCCTGGCTGACACTCACAGATGAAACTTCCCTGAGTGTTTCTGCAGACCCCATCCAGGCAAGGGTCAGTGAGTGTGGCACACTCATCAATATCTGTGGCAACACAATAAGGTGGTCAGTCCCGCTTGGCATTCCACTTGATGTCAATAACTACCTCAAATACCTACAAATACTTTCCTGATATGGACACAAACTTCCACTGACAATGGAAAAGCAGAATACTGTCACTTAATCCAGTGCCAATTCCACTGTCTAGCAGAATAAACACACTGAATTTTCTTAGTGCAATGTCCTACTTACTTGTGGAAAATGGTTTACCACGAGACATGTACAGGATTTATCAAAACATTGGACTTGGCCTGTGTTTGGTTCCTTATCCAAGATCATATATTTAGGGAACCTCAAGCCCAAAAATAGCGTGATATTTTGGACAATTGAGTTATCGGTTAACAACTAAAATTAATTCAGTGAGCGTGTATGAAATGTGATAGTACAGTTAAACTTAGCACTTTAAGAAAATAGGGGAACAATCAAAAATAAGTAACCACAACATAAAACATCTACAATCTTCTGGCTGGACTTCTGAGTGCTTTTCAAAGCAATGTAAATAAAGTGGTGCTGACCAATGCATGCTTGTCCATCCGGGGCAAGAAGGTAACCATCGTCACAGACACACTGGAAGGAACCAATCAAATTCTGGCATCGGCCACCAGGGCACAGGAGAGGTTGCTTTAAGCATTCATTAACATCTGAAAATGAGAAGGCACAAGTTGTGAGAGAACACTGTGAAATTTTATTTTACCCTCCCTCCCCACACAAAATAAACAGAAATTTTCTTGCAATGTTGTTTAAGTTTCTCTTGACTTTCTTACACAGTAATTGAGCAAAGACAAGAATCTTTTCAAAAGGTGTGGAAAAAAAAACTGGGGTTCCACTTGTTCCTATGTTCAATAGTTGGAAGATTTGATAGTCCATGTGCACAAATTTTCTGTAGCCGGGAGTTCATTAGTTTGAAAATGAAAAAGTTTGAACATGTGGTGCAATAGTCTGACGGTTCATTCTTCTGAAGATTCAATAATCCAAATAAGGAATAAGAATTATTGTGAAGGTTCAAAAGTCTGAAATCAAGGCAAGGTTAAATAGTCCAAAGGTTCATTAATTCAAAAGTACCTAAATGTAAAATTCAATGATCCAAACTTGACTTGAAATTCTCTTCAATATACTATAATTTATTTTCAGACAACTTAACCTATTTATTGTTGATTATTGTGATTAATGAGCCTTATTTTCAATTCAGACAATAAGCCTTTGCATTGGTCTGTTTGGTCTATTTTTAGACTGACAAACGGTGGGACACTAAAACATTTAGACAAACAAACTTACAGACAACTGAACCTTAGGAATAACAAATCTTTGGATTTTTTTACCTTGAGGCTGATGAACATTTAGTCTGTTAGTCTATCAAACTTTTGGATTATCAAGCAGTACACAAAAAAATCGACATGAGATCCTTTTTTTGAATGGAAAGTTGAGTCCTTCAGAACTCTGCTTGAAGTTGACAGTGTTACGATTCCAGTTGATCCAAATCCTTTTGTGTCTCCCTGAAAAGGTACGTGTGGAATTTATGCACGTTCCAAAAACCTATAAAAGATTCCGTAGTCATTGATTTCGCTCTCAGTCAGTGCCTATATGCTTTTAGCATGTGCGTTTCAAAATAGCCGGCGTTGGGTTAGCACCTCCTTGTCGTCTACGCCTCGATTACTGCTGCACCGTAGCCAAGGCTGACACCGCTGAGGGACCGTGGACCCTGGAGTGTCGTGGCTCCATGTAGAAGCCGAATCTCGGGGATTCGACACTGACCTGCCTGTCTGAACTGGGCTGTTCTGGCACGGAGTGCGGAGGTGCTTGGCCCGACGACCGCGCTCTTTTAGCCATGGCACTGACTGGGCGGGGCCTAATTTTCTTCTGTTCTTGTGTTGGCTCCTTAAGGTAATCATACTCGGCCGAATATAATTTGCCTCTTCGCATATTAATATGTTTTTGCCGGCTTGCTAATTTTCAGTGTAATTAATTCTGCTTGGCTGAGCTAATGTAAATAATTTCCTTTTATGCTTTTTGACTGTTCAAATTTACGATGTTCTCGCATGAGAAGTTTAAGTTGCAGCAAACCACTAGATTTACTTTGTTTTAATTTACTGCTTTGCTGATTTAAGTTAATAATTAAATGTTATTCCAAATTAGTTCCTTTATTGTCCTTTGCTCGTATGTTTTAGTGTCCTGATTACCGTCTTTTGATTTTTCTTCTGCCGTGCATTCTCTGCACGTGACAACAGCTTGATAGTTGAAGTAACATTGTTGGCTAACAATTTATCTAAATCAAATTGATCAATCAATGTGAGTAAATAACACAGCATTAAGGAACAAACAAGGACAAGGGGAGGAGATGAAAATGATAGGTTTGAATACCTTCACATGTCTCTCCAGTGAAAGACGGTTCAAATCCGGTAAAGCACTCACAGAAGAAACCACCAGGGATGTTGACACATCGGCCATTGAAACATGCCCCCACACCAGTGATGCACTCGTTGATGTCTAGTAGCATGATGCCAAGATGTGGTACATTCAAACGATAATATTTCAGTGAGACATTGGGGTCCAGACACATGACCTTACCTAGCTAGGCTTTTTTTTCAGTAGGATGTTTTATGAACCCTTTGAAATTCTTTAATCTATACTTTCAAGAGGCAACAAATACCACTCGACAGTAGTGGCAAGGCCTTACCATTCCAGGTCTGGTAAAATCCTCACAAATCTTTCATGGACTTTGAAAGATCTAGGAAAGCTGCTATAATCCTATCTTCAAGTGAGTCAATTTCGAATTTCTAATGGGTTCATTATGGACTGGGGATGCAAGGTAATTTCTGCTGAGTTGTCCATTCAACAGATATGATGTACCTTACCTACATCATATTGAACACTTTGTGGGATTCAAAGGAACAAGGGGATCCCAATAAAAAGTATTCTAGCAAGGATAAGTAAAGGTTAGTGGTAAATGTCGTACAGAAAAAAAATGAATTCACAATAAAGTAATACTGATCTCCGTATTTTGTTTCCGTAATCTCTTTGACAACAACCTTTTTGTTACAACAAAGACATATAACTACTGTGCAAATGAAATCTTGACTCTTATTTCTAAACAGATAAAAACATTATTTTTAATCTGACATCAAAGGATGGTAAGAATGACCTCATTCATTTTATGTAAGAACAGTAATGGCCAATTTTGAAAAGTCTAGTGTCCCATTTACACAATGACAAGTACCCACTTGAAATTGTTCAGTATGCTAAATGTTACAGTGACAAAAAAAAATGGGTGAAAACAAGTCTCTCACCAACACAGTCCTTATTTTGTCCCAACTCATAGCCACCAAAACACTCGCACTCGTAAGAGCCAAATGTGTTGCGGCAGGTGCCGTTGCCACACACTCCGATGCTCCCAATACGTTGCTGACACTCATCAATATCTGGACAAACAACAACATGACAAATGGTACTTATGGCTGCCACAGTTGAGGGCAAAAGATTGAAAAACTTCTGTGTCAAAAAGAGTGATTTAACAAGGTCTGATGCATGTAGTTCAAGATCCTGTGGGTAATACCCAAATTATGCGTCAACTCCATGCTGTGGGGTTAAGGTAAGATTTATGTGTCCTTGACCACAGCACTCATTGGTTCTCTCAATACATGAGTAAATGAGTATCTGTGATGGCAAATATGGTGTTCACATTTAAATGAGTTATTTGCAATTATTGTCATCACGGGTGGATCAAGGATTTTCCAAAAGGGCGGGGCGTGAACTAAACAGTTTAGGGTCCCGGCCATAAAACTATGGAGGTTGGGTAACTGGAAGCGAAACTGTTGCTTTTTACATATTTGTCACATTTATGGGACTGAATCTCTCCCTCTTTTTTCTTCCCCCTCCCTCTTTTTCTTCTCTTTTTATTCATTTATTTATATTTTTTGGTGAAAAAAGGGGTATGCAACCCCGTCCCCCCTCCGTGATCCTCACCTGGTAAAAGAGCAGCAGACTCTTCAGATTTGCAATAGTCTTACCAAAATCATATAGGCCTGATAAGCAAAGAAACACTGATGTAAAAAAGATCAAATAAAACACAAAAGTACTCCCAAATCACTAGCATGTCACAAATCCACCACTTTCAACTCACCGTCACAGGACTTTCCATCAAATGATTCAGCAAATCCAATATTACAATCACAGCGGTAAGATCCCATGGTGTCAACACAGCGGCCATTTCTTCCACAGATGTTGGGTGACTCCTGGCACTCATTGATGTCTGTCAAACATTTGAAATAAAAACAGTGAATAGATAATGACAGATAAGGAATCAAGTAAATGGATATTCTTATATGGTGTGACCAGCTGTCCATGGAATTCCCTGTATTCCGTGGGGTACTTCATGTAAAAATCTCGTCTAATCCCTCAACACTGTGGTTTATTGCAGAAGCAAGCAAAGCTTGGCATGTTTCTTTCAGTGGTAAACCAGTTGAAAATCCAGCAGGGTGGAGGGGGAGAAGGTGATGAAGACAAACACCATAACACATCAAGCAGAATGGCTGTCAGGACACAAATGTTTGGTAGAAACTGAAAGTACCAAGACTCTATGTCATGATACTGGCTCCCAGAACAATGGATGACTCTTTTCCAAATAAAAGAGTGCATTCCAGTTTCACAAAAAGTCCCAATAATGCCCACAAGGCAAACAAACCAGGGTAAACCACTGTTGGAAAACCCCATCCCTTTTTAATGTCCAAGTTCCATACAGATCTTTATAGGTAGATATCTAAAGATCTAGTCATGTATTCACTTGTACTAGTAAGCAAAGCAACAAATCCCAGTAGCCCAGTTTTCAGTGATAAAAAATACTAAACCACGATTGGTATAGCTTATTCTCAATCCTGTAATTATATAATTCTTCACATACTCTTGGGAATTAGGACAAATTGCAGTTCACAAGAAGTCATAATTCTGTGTACAAAATAAAAGCAAATTGTCCAAGAATTTCATGAAAGTAAATTTGTTAGTAGGGCTGATTTGAAGTTTTCAAAGGGTGGAAAATTTGATGTGAGAGGATAGCTTGTACAAAAGGTAGGAGATATGACAGAAAATGAACAATGTACACAAGATCTTGGGCTCTGAATAGAGACAACATTTTTTCACTGTTCATATTTGTCAATCACGTAATAACTGTTGATACCTGTTGATTACACTATTTTCATAAAGCCTCAGTTTCCCTTTTTAACAACACTCAACCTGACTGTGTATTAATATTTGATAATGCCAACTGTGTAAAAAAATGCTCTGGCACCTGGATATGAGAAAGTTTAATCCATCCCTATTGGCCAAGAGTCTGCCTGCGACATGGCACTCAGAATGCGCTACGTGTGCGCCAAGTCCATATACGGAGATTCTTCTGGACAACTTGCACAAGGAATATACCCTAAAACGGACGGGGGGGTGTTTGGGATTAATAAAAGTTAAACTCCAATTAAAATTGATGGAAATCTATCATATCTTTTTTTGACTCTCTGACTTAAGGTATTTATGAATGAGAATAAATATATGCTTGGCTACTGAACGCTGATAATGCGTCCATTTTAATGCCAGTCTTAAACGCATGTTTAAGACTGGCCAAGCACATATTTATTACCTTATTTATCACTGGCTGAAAAAGCTTCAGTATAATTTGGTTTTTTGTAGATGAAAATATGTTTGTTTGCTTTCTGTCTCGGGCCACTTGAGGGCACTCTTGCTTCGGACCTTCCAAAAAATGCCTTAGCATTCACGTTGCTGAGAAGCCATTTTGAGGTATTGTTTGTAAACAAAGTTTGATATCTTTGATATTTATAAAAAGTTTTAAGATGTAATTTGAGTGATAAGACTTCAGCATATTCTGTAAATTTTAGAGATTTGGACTGCTGTGTAGAGGAGCCATTCTGGTTTTGTACATCGCTTATTTTGGCTTGATCTCCACATAACATTACATATTCATACATGTGACCAACTGCCATTGTGATTGGACTTTAAAGCAGTTGAGTGCATCGTTTGGATTTTTCATCATGCAACACATAAGTACTTTGTATAAGCAAGGCCATCTACAAAGTATCTTTAGGACTAGTACATCAAAATTGAAGAAATCAAACTCTTGCAGTGTACAACTTTGGAGGCTTGTTTATGTACATCAATTGTGAGAATTATCTTGTTCCAGAGACCAGTTAATCAGCTGAATCTCAGTGTAATGCTGATCTGCTTTGGTGAATTGAAATTACTCACATTAGTCACAGTCAAGTGCTGAACAGGAGATTGTGTGTCTATTCAAGATAATTTAGGTGTCGGAGACAACCAGCGGACAGTTTGAACCCTACACAACAAAATCCATCACATAGACCAAATAATGTTCACTGCATTTCTTGTGTGGAGTTGGAAAAGTGTGAAAGAACTTGGTACTTACTGATGCATGCCACGTTATTGGTGGCCAAGGTGTAGCCTGCCCTACATTCACACACATGACTGCCAATGGTGTTCCTGCAGATGGCATTGCTTCGACAGAATGACATACCCTCGGAACACTCATCAATATCTGGAGGGGAGGGGGAATCACAACATAGTAAGTAGCATTACATCAGGCAAGAGACTGCAACAAATTTAACTCATATTAAGAAACAAGGATGACATTTGACATCAGTCAACTCGACAAATTAAAGAAACCATTGTCATGTGCTTAGATGAATTAACTTGTATTCTGCTTCAAGGTGTGGTGAACCTCAAGGTCCACAGAACAAAATCTTTGAAATAATGCCTAATGGTACCTGAACATTCTGATCAACAGTGCATTATGAACATTACAAGTGATATCAACTGCTGAAAAGGGTGCTGGGAAGGGTGAATATGTCAACGAGTAATTTACTCAATTATGCCAACACCTGTACCTAGAACTGAAATCTTTCAACGACAAACAACAATGTGAACTTGGTACACATTGTCCCCCAGCAACGGCCGCAAAACAATTTTTGGGGGAGGGGAGTTTTAAAATCAAACAGTATCCATTAATAGGCTGATCCGTTAAGCCCCATTCTATTATAGGACCTCCAAAAAGTAGGGGGCCATGCCTCCCCCCCCCCTTGCGAAAAAGTGGAGGGGTAGAGCACCGGCTCCTCACTCCTACAACTAGTTTCCCCCAATTTGTTTTTATTGCGAGGGGTATAACTCACCGACACATTGAAATTTGATGGGGTCGTAACGATAGCCAAGCCGGCAATCACACCTGAATGTCCCCTCGAGATTAATACAAGCTCCATTCAGGCACAGGTCAGATACCTCACATTCATTGATATCTGGCAGAGAAATTAATGTGAAGAGTAAAACACGAGAACTTTGATCAGTGTAAAACTGTTTTCAAAGGGGTTAACATAGAAAGTGCACTTAAGTGGGAAGTGAACAGGCCTACAGTTACTCAAATACTGCTAACTCAAACTGTACAGGAAACTGATGTGATCAACACATTTTATTTTAGAGAGTTAAACAAGAAAATTTACTGCAAGGAATAGGGGAGCCTAAGAGCTGCCCAAAATTAGGATGTAATCTGGAGACCTAAAGAGAAGATCTAATCCTTCAATCATGTCACATTAAATCACGAGGAAAAGTGGAGGTAATCTGTCCTATTTATGTTAAAAGCCTGTACTATTTTTTCTGGCAGACAAGCACAGCTGTACATATCTTAAATAAAAAGACAATGAATATGCCAAAACTTGATAAGACATTGGAAAAAAAAGGTTTCCCTTTTTACGAAGAGCAGAGGTGCCAGGGACACTCGCTGCTGCTCACTTATTAAACCAACTAGATCAGAAAAATATCTATTGGATCAAAAGTATTGGTGGGTTTCTCCATGCAAAGCCTTTGCAGTTGTCTCTTGGAAAGTTTTCGTCACTGCTATCTTACCTTTAGGAAGCCCAGTGAACGGATCAATGAAGAATCCAGGTGCAATGCCGCACATTATACGGAACTCCTCTGAACAAAAAAAAACAACCTCTTCTATTACTCAAACATTACTAAAAGTTTTTATCTATGTAATAACAGTATACTGAATGTTCATAAATGCCAAATCATTTTGTCAGAACATTGTGTTGATATTCTCTTCACAAATAAATTCATGTACGTTCTAATCTGTGCCATAGATTGCTAAACAAGAGCTCAGTTCTCCTTATCATGTTTTCATCATTTCAAAAACTTATATCCAAACATACAATATACATTACATCACTTTTGCCTGAAATAATTTCAGTACTTAACTTACAGCACCGTGGTCAAGTCTGTCACAAGTTTCCATAAATAGCTTAAGTCCTCAAGTATCAGTCACAAGTCATTCAGTCTCAAGTCAACCAACAAATGTAGCATATATACTGTTGGTTATTCTTCATGACTGTTATAATGACTGGATTTGTGAATTATTCAGCAATTTTTCTTATTACTGGACTTGAACTGAATTCAACAACAAAACCTCCTGTACCTAAGAGCTCCAAGACATCGGCTGCTGGTTGAGTGGACAGAGTTGGCTGTCTTCAACCTACCTGTGAACATATCGGGGCATTTGGAGCAAGGTGATATTCCCCATGCTGCCCCCTGAAGCCCACTGCAGCAGCACATCTTCTGGGTGACATTCATGCCATAGGAGGCACTGCACTGGGGCTCTGCAGTCTCATTGTAGTAATGGTAACAAGGGAGTTGGCGCATGTCTGCAACAATTATCGGTGAGGAGTTTGTACATATCAGAAGTGACTACAGATGTGATACAATGGATCAAAGTAGAATGGCTATATATTGACCTGCAATCCATACTGGTTTCATCAGCCACAACAATCTTATATGTGGCATCATGAGTATCAATATAATAGAAATCTTCAGAAATGATGCAATTATGGTGAGTATATGCAGTCCAAAACATATTGTTGCAGATTGTATTACCACTTTGTCACGATTTTGCAAGGCAGACCTATCTGCATTCCACCATTTTAACTTCTTTGTAAGAGCATTTTGGTTCCATTTTGTGTTGGTACATTGCACATGAACATATTTTCTCTTTAAAAAGAAAAATCAACTTTCATCTTGGACTATTGAACATGGTCTGTCTTGAAAATTAGAGGGAGGGACTGGAGGAAATCTGGCATAACTTTGGAGAACCTGCTTGTTAGAAAAGTCTAGATAACAAGGTCTGAAATGATTTCAACTTCTGATAAAAGAGGTATAGAAAATGGTGAACAACATGCAAGACAACATCAGAAAATTGTGTTAATGATTGCATTAAAAACTATGGGTGGGGGGGGCAAGCTACAGATTTCAGGGGCAGCTTAAGCATCCTACTCACCCATGCAGTTGCGTCCACTGAACATATCCATCAACATGAATCCTGGTGGGCACATACAGGTATAGTTCCCAACAGTATTCATGCAAGTGCCTGCACCGCAGATATAAGGGCTCAATTCGCACTCATTGATGTCTGAAAGGGAATACATGAGAAAACACATGTAATGCTGTTAGAGTGGCACAAACTAACTGTGAACACAAAAATCAAGCCATTTCCAAAAGCATATCCCTAAGGTCTGCATAATCTTTTGTCCACTAACAATGATGGCTACATTGACAGTCTCTGTTATGATGTAATGCTCAATTTGTGATCAACAGACTATTTTAGATTTTAGAGTTGTTACCATCAACATAAGTATTAAGCAATATAACTCTAAAAACTCCGTTTACATTCTCACACACATTTTCTAGTTTTGTCCATCAGGGTATTTTTACAAAAAACTTTCCAGAAGCTCTCAAAATCTAACACTGTACAGTAACTAAATCACACATTCTTTGCATAGAGAATTTCAGTGTTCCGTCCAACCCATTTCCTGTATAGGGTACCAAAGTGAATACTTCACATGATTATGTGTGTAAAAGGAATTAGCTCGAGAACCAGCGTGTAAACCAACACGTGCGCGTACTCCATTCGTTTGCACTGCACTTTCTGGTTCACAGTGACGTCACACTTGCGGTGCTTCTAAAGGTATGATGGCGGGTCCCACTGTGCACAAGGAACCCATTAAAATTATGTCACACAACCACAATCTTGTCATACGAGTTAAGGCAGACTTAGAATCAATAAAGGTGAAGATCTGTAATGTTGATTACATAAATTCAAGACCAAAATGATCACAGCAACATTCTTGGCCCTATTGTTTCATCTTACCCCTGCAGGAGCGTGAGTCCTCATCCAAAGTGTAACCCACGGGACAGACACACATGAAGCTTCCCAGGGTGTTTACACAACGTCCTCCGGCGCACACAAATGGGAAGATAGCACACTCATCAATATCTGTAGGTTTATAAAATCAGATACACAAACAAATCACGGGAAAAGAAAGTACCATGGCTGATATATCAAAACAGGAAAAACATTTGCATTTTTATAATTACATTTACAATTATTTCACACTGTCTCAATACTTTCCATCAAAACTTGGCATTTTGCAAACCAACATTTTAACAAACCAATGTCAAGCTCATGCAGGGATTGGTGTACACCAAAATGTAAAAGTGGTCCAGGAGGACTATGGGGAACCAAAACAACATTGTCTAATGTACCATTAGGGTCTCTGCAACCTTCGGGGCCTCCAACCATCAGCACCTCCAGGACCATCAGGGCCTGCAGGACCTTCTGAACCATTAATTTTTCCAAGGCAGTCAGATGGTTTGCCCAAAAAAGGATGGATTTTGGAAATAAAGGCCAGGATCAACTCCCTGGGTGTGGGGCTTTCATCCGAGGGCAGAATTCATAAAATTATGGATCTAAAATGGCCCTTGGTTCCTAAGAAAATAGAGGCTGCAAACAGGCTTGGGAAATACATGTATCACTTTTCGAGGGGTGAGTTTGTTTTGTGTGGAAAACTGCAAGAGGCTAACCCACCAACAATTGAAAAGAAATGGAAAGATTGGGGACAAGACAATAATTTCATTCTAGCTTGCAAAATTCTAGTAAGGCTGGCCTGCATGTTATTCAGCCCTGAACTTTGTTGATTGTTTCACTGTTTTCAATGGGGCTTGAATTAGTGCACTGTAAGAATTAGATAAGACAGTCAAAAGCTTTACCAGTGGTCAGATCAGGGGGAACAATTGGACCATCAGTGCCATCGGGACCATCTGGACTATCGGTGCCTCCTGGACCATCAGGACCGCCAGGAACAGGGGTAGCTCCAGGAACATCAGGGCCATCAGGTTTGGGCACAGGTTTGAAGCCAGGGCCAGTGGGGCACAAGAGTTGTCCTTCAGCTGTGGAATTGAAATAAGAGGTAAACGTTACAGATATTTATGTCTTGGTCATGTAAATGGGGAAAAATGGGACAAAATAGTGTACAATGTTTTTCTAGTTGTAATGGCATACATGAGAAGTAAACATTAGAAGAAATCAGCTGATTCTGGTCAACCCAGGTCAAGCTTTGACATATTCTTCTGGACATTCCAAAATTCCGAGATTCACAATAGCGCACTTCCAATGCATTGGCCTATCACAATACGCGAAATGTGTCGGCCCATTCCAAATGCACCTTGGGTAAACAGATTTTGCACATTGTGATTGGCTAACGCATTGCAAACTCTTGGGGGCATGCTATTGTGAAACGTCCGTATCCTCTTTGAACAAGATGTAACGTGTGTGATCATATAGTTACCAGGTGCCTTACATCCATTTCAGACAGGCGTTCCAGGGTCATGCCGCACCAAATAGAATTAAGAGCGACTCACATCGGCAGCAGAAAAAGGGGTTGTTGGGCCATCGCCCCCCACCTTTAAAAAGTTAGTTATTTTGCCCCTCCCCACTTTATAGGCCTACCAGCCATTGGAGGTTCATTGCAACTTCAGAATTGTACTCTTTTCAGTTTAATGGCTGGGGCTTGCCTCCCCACCTTTTAAAACCATTCTGCTGCCATTGGCAGCCAGGGTCAACCTAATTAAAGTTTGGTTTCAGGCTAGATGTACTTAGAATATACATTTGTCCCATGAAAAGAGCGACATCTGAAACCAAGTCCCTCTGGTATCATTCTGAATGCCTTAAAGAGTCAGTCTTTTGCATGGTAACACGCCTGATTACTCCAAATTGTCGAAGATGTCAAGCCTTTGCCACACTTAAATCTAAATTTGCTTTTAACTTGGTGCAACGTGACACTAGAATGTTTGTCTGAACTGGGTGTTATTTCACCACTTATGGTGAAAACCAATCAGACTTGATAATAGGTGGCGGAATTATGGGACCTGGCAACTATACAGTCAAGTACATTAGTCGTAAATCTTCCTCACTTACACTTCAACAACTGAACTAGGGCAGGCTTTGATGACAAATTTTCTGTTTGGAGTGAATAAAGCCTTGTCTAAAGGCAGGATAATGACTGGACGAAGCCCATGCTAGGCAAAGATACTTCAATGACATTGCTTCAGTGGACTCGATCATAAAGATAACAGGTTTATACACTTTCAAAGGAAAATAACTTTACGGAAAAAACTCTTCTCTTCTTTCTAAATTAATGACAACAGAGCATTTTGAAGGCTTGCAGTACATAATGTCAAAGATGCTGATTTTTTATCCTCATCCCTGCTCATTGGACTCAACACATCTGTATATTTTTGAAACAAATCACAACTTCTTTGGGAGCATACAAATCGATAATGCCATATCAGGCACAAATGGCAACACACATAACCATCTCTGCCCTGAAAGATTCTCATTCACATCCCTGGGTGGACAGAAACAAGTAAACCACCACCATGTGTTCACTTAACTATTAAAAACAGCTGAAATGAAGCTGAGAAATAATCCCAAGAGAGATAGCTTCACAGACGGGCGGCAACTTACTGGAGTTTACTGCTGGACAAGGCTCACAAGGGTCGCCCCATCCAGTACCCAGGGTGCAACAGCACTCGTAGCGGGGGATGTCACGACCTAGGATGGTAGTGCAAGTTGACCCAGCCAGGTCACCACGGTCAGGGCTGTTGGCATAACACAGGCCACGTCTCTCATCTACCAATAAAACAATGTTGGATAAGTGAGTGGGACACCTGATTGGCATCTCATCCCAGCCAGTTTCACTGTACAATAGTAAAATGTATGTCAATAAGTGCTGAAAAGTTAAAGTAATCCACCCCAAAGTGAGGACCAAGAGAGGGCGCAATTTTCCGAGCAATGGTGGGAACTGCACTTCACGGATTTCACCAACAACTACAAAATGCACATGTTGCTGTTGCATAGCTATCAATAAAATGAACACTTCCCACCAACATGGCTCTTTTCAACTGATGAGGGTGTGCTTCTGCTCAAGGTAGATAAAAGAATGAAATGCTGAGAGTGTACACCGCAGTTAGTGATAACCGCAGTTACTGGTATAGTCAAAAATTGTCCCGTAAGGTTTTCACGAAATGAAAGTTTTTGGAAATGTAATGTAGCATGATTGCCTATGAGTATACAGTACAGAAAAAAAATTGTTGAAAGTACTACTCACCTGATCAGCTATGGTGTCCCCAATTCAGATCCTACCTAATGCATCATACGAACTGCCACTAGATTACCTAAATACTCCCTCACTCGAAATTTATCTCCCATGATCTCTGCATTGCATTTACATGTGGGATGCAATCAACTGGATGGGATCACGTGGCCCCTTTTTTTAAGGTTGCTACAAGGTTTTGGGATCAGCTTTACTGACTGGTACTTCACAGCTTGGTACTTTGACCAAATTAAACTGTTTATCTACTCCTACCAACTCACCTAAGCAGACTGAGCCATCCGGGGTGAGGGTGAAGCCCTCTGGACATATGCAGATGTAACTGCCGATGGTGTTGGTGCATTCCCCGCTAACACAATAGGTGTCTGGCTCTGCACACTCATCCAAGTCTTACAGTGGAAAGCAAAATAAACAAACAAACAAACAGCAGAAACACAATGAGCTGAGTAATACTGTCCTAGAACAAAATCACATCCCTGACAAAAATACAAAAGGAAAGGCAAATTTGCACCAAAGATGTATAGCAAGGATTGTTATTCTTTCACAACTTAAAGCTATGAGAAGTGCTGACACAGAATCTGAATCTATAAGTAAAGATAACAGGGTACAGTATCAGTACATTATCTGTTTCAGTGACAACAAAGAGCAACACAAAGGGAGTTATAATTATAAATAAATATCCATGTTGACTTTTGGGCACTATTTTTTTATGAAGTGTCCACACTTCATACCATAAGAAACTTTGAACCGTTCGGCTTGTAACACTAACAGCAGGTGTAACATTTGCAGATAATGCTAATAACGAGCATTACCTGTGCAGTTGGCACCTCCTGCATCCAGCTGGTATCCTTCATTGCATTCACAGCGGAATGTCCCTGGCACATTGATGCAGGTGCCAAAGACACAAATGAAGGAAATGGTGCACTCATCAATATCTGCAACACAAATCAACACACACAACCCTCTTGAAGAAAAATTCCAAGGAATAATAAGGCAAAGTATTTTTCAAAATGTCAGTTTCTGAGGGCTGCAACATTTTCATACTTTCTTCCATGTAAAATTCCAAGTCAAACCATTTTGCCTAATTAGAGAATAGAAACGTGACAGTGTTTAAATCAGATAGAGGCCTAGGGATGATGATGATGGACCAGGCCAAAGGTCCCAAGCCAGTTTCAAAATATAAACTGAAAACCAATCCACCACACCTTTATGCCTATTCACCAATGTCTTTCTAATAAAAAAGTTAAAATAAGCGAACATAATTCATATTTCTCTAATGATTTTAGTTATCGGTTTTACCTTGTGCTTTGTGTAACATCCCTCTATCCATATCTATGGTATGTCCCTCATGTACATATAGGACAAAAAGTTTACACATTTTATATGCAAGCACCATGTGCTGCATGATGTGATGCATAATGCCACTGCATGAGGGTTGAGTCCATTATTAAAGAAGTCAAAATTTCATATGAAGATGTATTAATAACCAGTTGGCACTTACATCAAACCATCCGCATAACAGGCTCTTGACCAGTAGGATACACTTGACTACAACACTGCTAATGTAAACTGGGAGATTTGCAAAACAAGGAGGGAGCAAGTTGGGTCTACTTACCCTCACAATCGTCTCTGTTCTCTGTTGGTAGGAAGCCCATATCACAGTCACACTCGTAAGATCCTGGGGTGTTCAGGCATTGACCATTGGGGCAAAGTTCTGGGTTCCTCATGCATTCGTCAACATCTGCAATATTTAAACACAATACAAACAAAATTGTCAAGCCATTGGAAATACACTACATAGAAAGTTCAATTCACATCTGAAACTTCTGGGATATCATATTAAGGTCTTGCCATCAGGTCCACTGGGTAATCTTTAAGTTTTCATTGGTTTTTATTTATTTTAATAGTTCAATATTTGCAAAAATTCTAGTTTTTGATCACTGCTTATGGTTTCCACTGGTACATGTATACCAGATTATCAGGTTTCTTACAAGCCTCATAAAACCCGGAAAGCTTGGTAGTCATGAGGTTAGGACATATGTTTGACTGACCTCACCATTACAAAATCTAGCAAAATTAAGTACTTTCAATGTTTGACAATTCCTCTCCCTATGCTGTTCATTTTTATGCTTCAAAGTGATCCACGGTACAAGTTTTAATTATCTCCAGAAGGCTTTGGTAGTTACACCCAATGAAAAGTTGTGGAATGTGTATTGTTCATTTGTATTTCCATAGCCAAGGAGCCTTCAGCCTGGTTTTGGAACGGTGAGTCACGTACATCATGTTTCAGAAGAAGTAAAGGACTACCACATGCTGTAAAGCTTCAGGAACTTTTCTTGCTGGCTACAGAAATTGCTGGCACCAAACGTGCAATGATTACGCAGCAGGGCATTCATATTTAATTGACACATTGCCACTTATTTTAACCTTTTTTCCTCCAGTTCCCAATGAACTCAAGAGTCACTGCACACAGTCCTATACCACAACATTTTACCAGTAATATTTTCAAGGAATAATTTTACCAATCACTGCTGGGGATAACAGCATCCTGAATGTAAGACCAGACGAATACTCCAAACCATTCTACTTTACCATTGCATTCTAGGCCATTGCCAGTGAAGCCTTCATTACAGATGCATTCATAGGATCCCTCGGTGTTCATACAGACAGCATTCTCACGATCACACTCATGGATCTGGGTGGCACACTCATCAATATCTGCGGGGAAACAAATATTAATCATGAACCCCTTTTGCTTTACATGGCCTGTTTTCCGCTACGGACCCAGAGCACTGGATCAGAATACCATGCTGTGAGCCAGAGATACTAGGGCAAACACCAAGTCTACCTCATTATGTTTCCTGGGTTGTTATACATGCATAGGATGTACTGTTTAGCATCCCACCTGGAGTACATAACCCGCATGGATAACAATAGGTCGATATTCATTCCCCTGATGAAGGTGCACCTATCATAGCAAGTAATGGATCTTCTTGGCAGTATGTGGTATAGTTTTTGAACTGAGTACTACTGCAAGTAGAAGCCATTCCCTTTCAAATTTTTGCTACTTAGACTTCCATGAGCCATCTGTTTTTAAGAGCTATAACAGTAATGATAACAATGACTTCAACTGCACACTTATCAGGTAACTCGCTTGAGGTGCCTACAAACAACGGAAACTTAAAATCAACAAGATATATCTCAAGAGAAAGTGAACTACCGAAGTAAATGGGATTTGAATTTTATTTTGAAGAGTTCCAGGGAATTTATCCAACAAGGTGACATGGGAAGTTTATTCGGAAAGGTAGGTTCTGCCTTGTCTGGTATTTTACGGTAGTTTTTAAACAAAATACATGTACTTAAGCATGATACTACTGCAATAAGTTTTTATCAAAGACAGGGTCACCAATACCCCAAAAATTATATTCATGACGGAAACAGGAATTTAGATTTGAAAACTGACAAGCCAGTTTGGAGAGGACATTTTCTTTACCGATGCAGGCATCAAAGCTGGGGAAAAATCCAGCATTGCACTGGCAACGGAAGGAGCCACGGGAGTTGACACACTGCGAGTGCATGGCACAGTTGTGGATGCCCATGGTGCACTCATCAATATCTGTGAGTAAAGGAAAAACAAAGAAATCAAGATCCTGTGCAGTGGGTCAGCTCTGATCATGCAGTCCAAAAGATGTTGCTTGACAGATGCATTGAGGAGAAATGGGAAATTTTCTGAAAATTTGGTTTAAAAAGAGCTGTTCATGCTGCTTAAACCTAAGAATTCAGACGGTGCTGTAAGTAAATGAATGGGCTGTTTATATCAGGGAAGGTTGTTTTTGTTCAAACATCAAGCATTTGCAATTGTCAGACAAAATTTTTTTCTTCCTTTCCCACATTTGAACAATCCATCCAACTATTTCCTTTTGCACCTATTCACATAATTCATCCTGAGGTGAATCAATTTAGCAAAGGCTCTCTTTCTTATCCAAGTGGCAGGCCACACAGTACGAAACTCTGGTCATCCTACCAAGACAGCTGAGGAATGAGCCTTGGATTGCATAGCCCTCATCACAGCGGCAATTGTAGGATCCCTGGGTGTTGATGCAGGTGCCTGCTCCACAGATGTCATCAGCCATGGTGCACTCATCAATGTCTGTGGAGAGCAGAGGTTAACAAATTGTAGTTAACATTTCTGTGAAACTGTCTTCAGAAAATTTCCTTAGTAACTATCTGTGCCAAAAAAAAGAAAAAAAGAAAAGATTTCTCCTGAAATATATATTCCAAAGAGACTCTGGAACCATCAACATTTTTCACTTCTTTCTCTTGACCAGTGGCCAATTTCATAGAGCTGCTTAAGCACAAAATTTGCTTAAGCAGGAAACAAATTTGCTTAATAAACAAAGATTTCAGCTCAAACTCTGTCTGATTGTTATACTAGCCAAAAAAAAGCTTAAGACAATCCCAAAACAAGATACATCACAGGGAGTTTTGGCTGGTCTCCTGGTTTATCAAGTAAGGTTTTCTCACACTTAACCAAATTTTGTGCTTAAGCAGCTCTATGAAATTGGCCCCAGGTCTTTAATTGCTCTGGGCACAAGCTTGTTAACCTGGCCATGTTTGCTAAGGAATGCTTGTCATAGTTTAAGTAAACCTGTTTTGTAATGCTTGTGTCTTTTTTTAGTTTTTGTACAGATTACCATTTGTATGGGTATAGTTAATGTTGAATGTCAGTCCAAGCTTTATTTGTATGACCCTGTTTTTCATGTATATAAAAGTCTGCACCCTGTAATAAGTTGGGAAAAGCCGTTGTAATGTGTTGTGCTCCACAATTTGTTCTTTATACGAATTCTGAGCAATAAACCAATCCTGTATTCCTGTATTCCTGCAAGTGATTTAATTTTTGCTATATATAATAAATGACACATCATGACTAGAAGGGCACATTGTGACCAATTTTATGAAAAGATGTAAACACAAATGAAGTAAATACAATTGAAATTTGTTATCAGGTAGCTCTGCCATGGTGGAAATAAAACAAGAGTCATTTGACATGTGTAGCAAGCTAACAAGAACAGCACTGTGTGAGGGATATAAAGAGTTAGGCCGTGTCCGAAACGGGCTTCCAGAGCTATGGCTAGGTCTATTATCTGCGCATCTCCACGCATTTCCAATGGAGCGAAGACCTAGACCTAGATCTAGACAAGAGATTCACATGCAGCCTTAGTACTTGTGGCTTAAAATGCCTTACCGATACAGCTGGAATAGTCAGGGGAGATTCGGAATCCTTCCAAGCAGGTGCAGCTGTAAGAGCCCTGACTATTCTCACAGATGCCTCCACCACAGATGTCCACACTCTCGGCACACTCATCAATATCTATGACCCAACACACACAAATCGTTATACTGTATAGTTAGCTTTCCACAGTTAGTAACACAATGACACGGCATGACTACATGAAATCAGCCTATGAAAATGTGTTTGTGTGTAGAAATGGGAAATAACAAAAAGGAAACTGAGCTTGAAAAATGGCAAAAATGATCATTTCCTTTGGAACAGAACTTCCCTCTATAGGTTGGAAATGAAGCAAAGATTTCTTGATGGGTTTATTGTGCCTTTTCAATTGGCTCATTTCTGAAAATTTTACCTGAAACCAAACTTTTGTAAAATCCAGCACGTGACAATGCATCCATCCACAAAACAATTTCAACTTTCCCTTTGTACATTTTCATAGATATCACAGCCCTATGAAACTTGACTGGTACGTGGGTAAGCAATGAGGCCTTAAGAAGGGACATGTCCCCTCCAGTAACATAAGTGCATCCAATATGCAGAGGGGACTTGCAAAATTGGTGGCCTGGTTTTCTGGAAGGGGATACTCGGTAGGATTGGTCACACCTTACCATTAAACAAACCCCTTTTTTCTGATTTCTGAGCTAGGGATGAAGGGGCACACGAGTGACTTCGGCCCCAAGGAATCCTGCTAAGTAACACCACTGGTCACCTCTTTGAACGAAATGTTCCAAAACATCTGGCCCAGTAATGATCTCTCTTACCTCTGCACTGCCTCTGTCCATGCATCAGACCATAACCTACATCACAGACACACTCATAGCTGCCAGGTGTGTTGACACAGGTCTGCTCACAGCCTCCGTTTTCCATGCTACACTCATCCATGTCTATTTGTCATCAACAAAAAACAAGCACCAAGCCAAAGTAGACATCAAAAGGTTTTGAGTCCAAAAGATAGAAGCCAATCACTTTCATTCAAAAGATACCCAACATTAGCTACTAGACTTCACAATAAAAGAGAAATAGCAGGTGTACAGATCTTTTGGGGTGCGGTGCCAAACGGAACTTAAAATTTGTTATATGCAAAGGCAGCTGCAGGATTTTCCCAAACGGGGGACGTGATCCCGGACTTTCCAAAAGGGGGGAGCGTGAACTAAGCAGTAAATGGTAAAATGCCAGTTTGACGTGTGGTCTGGAGCCATTTTGTATTCTAGATGCTCTGTGGTGCAATGGTAGGCAGTATGACCCCTCCGTTTTCTTCGCGCTAGTTCTTCTAGCAGCAGTATGAATAATTCAGTATTGGGCGATTAGTTAAGCTCTTGAGAAGCGAGAATAGTTCAGCAAACTTATTTGGGGTGTATTTTTATCGGAATTGGGAAGGGATTTTTCGTTCTGGTATTGCTACAATCAGAGTAAAAAAACCATTCCTTATTTAATTGTGCACTATGGTAGTCATGATGACAGGAAACTGGCAAACAATGTCTGTATTTTGCATTGTAAGTGTGAGAGATGCATCTGGAGGGACAGGTGATAAACCTCATGTGCTGTGGCAGGAAATTTTGTGGAAACACGCTTGCTTCGAGTACGAGTAGTACAACCTCAAATAAATTCATGAATACAGAAAATACTGTAAGGCATATGTCTGGTGACATTTTACACTCCAGAGGAATGGCAATGGGGATACCCGGTTCATGCACATATTAAGGTGCTGCGGTAGTCCAGGAGTTTGGAAACCAGGGGACGTCAAGTGTGTCCAGCCGGGAATACGGAACAAAGGAGTATTGGTGTAACTGTCAGGAGATGTTGTGGATAGTGGGGAACCGAATGAATAAGATCACCATGGTTGAGAATGCAACTTGCATTGTGTAAGGGTTCGGACTCGGTCATCAATGATGGTTTGTCAGGCAACTGAGTCAGAAAAACCTTTCATTGTAACAGGAATTCTGTACAATGCAATTTCACTGTAACAGATTTTTCCCCATAGAAACAGGCACATTTTCTCCGGGACCACAAATGTGTGTTCGTATTTATAACCAAACTTATGTAACAGCCGATTTCATGATAATGGGAATCAATTGTATCTTTTTCATTCCTACCAGTGAATACCAGGCTCAAACACCTACCTTCACAGGATTTGAAGTTCATACTTGGTCTGAAGCCAGGGTTGCACATGCAACGGAAGCCGCCAACCATGTTCATACAATGGCCATTGGAGCAAACATCATTTCCTCGAGAGCACTCATCAATGTCTTAAGAGAGGACATCAAATTGGGAATAAAAGGTAAGCTTTTTGTTTGTGTTTTTGAATGAAGGTAGGCTTTCAGAACTATTCATTTTCCAAACTGCAGTAAACAGCGACTGCTTAATCAGCTTGCTGCAGGTATACAGCTACAAAAGTCAAGAAAAAAGAAAGTCATAACAAGACTTTGTGGAGTGTTTTTTCAAATTATTATGGAATATATGGGGATTCCAAAAACTAGGAAGTTAGCTGATAGGAGGAAAAGTAGCATGCCTATTTTAAATGCAAATATGCTTCAGAAATAACAACCAACTTGTTAATTACTTTGACTTTCAGACACCATAATACAGGAGCAATATGACCTTGTCTTTTGCAACATTTCATTTAAAAATCCCAGTCAGTCTGTCACACTTCTAGTCCTCCATCAAGGACACCCTAGGTTGGTGAGGTACTTGGTCTAAGAGAAGGGCTGAGGAATGCTCTTCTTAAGTTCTACGCAAATTGCACCTTCAAAACAGGATACTCGAAGCTAAGTGGGTGTGCACTGAAAGTATGTGGACACTAGAGGCAAGACATAAGTCAAGTATACTGCTCAAGAAGTTTTCAGCAGAGGCCATGACAACCTAAGTGTACGTGGAGGCTCTCCCTGATCTACCTTTGCAAATGCGTCCATCATCTGACAGCTCCTGGCCCGGGGGACAGAGGCACTGGAAGGACCCCACAGTGTTGATACACTGACCCCCGCGGCAGATGCCAGCAATCACCACACACTCATCAATATCTGAGGAAAAGAAAACAGAACAAAACCTCAAAGGAATAAATGAATGATACGATGACTATCAGACAATGCAGATGCAATATGGTGGGCTCACGATCCCTTTCATTAAACACTAAAAGCAACTTTGCAAAGCCTGATGAGCACAGAATTTAAGGGTAGCCAGTGACAAGACCAGGTGACCCTACACCAAAAACCAAACTGGCATTGCACGCACCTGTGCACATCTGCATCATCATGGAGGTCTCAAAGCCAGGATTACAATTGCAGGTGAAGCCACCAGGACGGTTCTCACAGGTTCCATTGCCACAGGCACCAAAGGCAATACGGCACTCATCAATATCTAGGATGAGGTTAACATGAGGCAATGAGAAGTTATTCAGTATTTCATTTCAAACATGACATATGCTAGAAAACTTGACAGGAACAGGGCTTCAACCCAAATGAACTATTCAACTCCTGTGTTGCTAATGTCTCATGTTTTGTGGAGTGCTCATCAGTAGCAGTTAAAACCATGTACAGAGATTATGCTCTGAATTACAATGCTGCAAACCTGGGAGGAAGGTTTTGATTTCAACAGAATTTTCTGGTATTCTGCCTTTAATATCCTACAGAAAAACTGTTTCAACTCCTTGTGTAAAAATAAATATGTTTGAGAATATAAAATTCAAGTTGAGTATGTCAAAGAGACTGAGAGGATTCTTATTTTCACCTCAATTTTGCCATTGCTTGGCCCTTCAATAATGCTTTTAATTTACTTTCAATAATGTACAAATTTACAAATTTACAGAACAAACTGAATTCACAGACCATGGGACTGGTCCATCAACAACGAAAAATCAACGCTTCTGGTAATCGTTGAAAATCTAAAAGAGCAATGCAGACTGCCGACTACTCACCCACACAATGGTAGCTGTACTGATCCAGTGCGTAACCCATGTCACACTCACAGACAAAAGTGCCAATCATGTTACGGCAAATACCGTTGGAGCAAACATCAGGAAAGACATTACACTCGTTGATGTCTGGCGTGAAATACAAAAAAATCTCACAACAATCTAAACATGGAAGAATACCCAGAAAAACGGCTGGCTCTTTAACAGAAAGCCAACACATCAACTATCTCATCTCTTAGAATTGCCTTTCAGTCACTAAAAACTTAAGTTGCCACCTTTTTCAAAGGCTTCAATGAACCGAGCTCCACAGGAAATCTCATTTCCATTTGTTTGAAATTCAATTTTTTTTGCAAAATATACTATAAATCTGCAATCTAGAAACCCACATTTAACTGAAATTTGTGATGTTATTATTGAAAGCTACACCTCTGATATTTACAGAATAAAACGAACAATTTGTATGAGTATGCAACTGAAATACATAATATCTATTTTTGTTTATTTGCTGACAGATTTATCTTACCAATGGTCACACTTGATCCATCCATGAGTTCTGGTGTTGGCCTCGTGTCAGCATAGCCTGGACCTCTTGGGCACAGCGTATTGTATTCAACTATAAAAAGGAGACAAATTCAATAACCACTTGTTCACTTTCAATTCAAGATTAAAAAGACTGTGCTAGATTTGAGAATTTAAGTAAGGAAGATTAGCGGAAGATTTTCAAGGGGGGGGCAGATGTGCGACCATCAGACATCAGCCATTAATGGGCAGATCCATTAAGCCTTAACCCATTACAAGACCTGCAAAAAGTGGGGGGGGCAGTCCCCACCCCCTGCCAGCAGTGTCTTGTATGAGTACTTCCACACTTGTCTAGATGATTAACTACAGAGAATAATCTAACAGGCATTACTCAACCAACAGTAAGTGAAAGTAGAATTTTGTTATCAAATATACAAGTGGCTCTCAGATTGACAAAAGCACAAAAATTTACCAACAGACTAAACAGTGACTGAGCTGTCACGGGTGAGCCTATGTCCAAGGACGCGCATGCTTCATATAGGCTATTCAGTGTAATGATAGTACACTAACAGCAAAAACAAAATCCATAGCCACATACAGGACACAATCCAACCACCTTACCAGTGCCTGGCAGTGGGCAGGAGTAACACTGGCCCAGGCTACCCCAGGCTTTGCCCATGGAACAGCAGCACACAGCATTGCGGTACAATCCCTGGATAGGATCATGGCACTGACCCTCAGAGTAGTCCAAGAAGCATTGGTAACTCCTTAGATCTGAGGAAAAATGAACAATGAATAATGCCCAGACTTTTCTATGGGTTTCAAAACACTACATATACATGAGCCCAAATGGCTACCTGAAATGTCAGCTACAGTACTTTCAAGTCAAATGTTCATCTCCATATTCCTTGTGTGAAACAACCGACAATAATTCTGTTCACCCTGGAAGGGGTAGCCATCTATTTATAGAAGGCTTACTGCCTAGGTAGATATTGTTCCACTTTATACTCCTTGGCAGAGAGAACCACATGGAGAAATGGCTTGCTTCAGAGCAACACATATGGCAAAGCAAAGTAGTTAGAATCCCCTTATCAACTACTCACATGTTACAGATGCTTTTATGCTTACTCCTTTTATCATTCTGCAACACTAAATTTATTCCAATAATGAGAAATTTACACATTTAAAGAAAACCAGTCCTTGTGTGTTTAAAAATACTTAAATGTAACTCAAATTTTAAACAAGGAACCAGTTGACACAATTTGCCTTCCGGTTTTAACTTAAACACAAATGCCAAGTCTGTCAGACTAATAATTTTAAGGTTAACAGAATGTGTGCACACTTTGTTAAGTATGATGCTACAGGCAAACATCTCTACAGAATCCATCTCCTACGAGCAACTGAAGTTGGTAATACATTGAGACAATGTGTACAATGCTTGCTTACACATCTACCTAATTGAACCTATTTTCCATTGTCAATGAATTTTCACATGAATTTTAAGAGTTTTAAAACAGGTTTACTTCATTTCCAACCAATAATGTGAGGGGATATTAATTTCAAGGCCCTATATAAATGCAACTGTGCAGAGCCTAACAAAGACAACTCAAATGAATTCACGTCCTTCTACTGGCTCATTTCAGTTTCGGCATAGAGTGAGTTTTTATTGGTTGGCCAGATAGTTACTGAAAACAGCGCATTCCAGTGGCATCCAATGTTACATAATTATAATCTCAACAACGATTGGCTGAGTTGATTCTTATTGATGCAATTTCTTGGAAGCTGTGTCCAATGGTGACAAATGTTCTAAACCCCAATTGGCTGATTTGGTTCTGATGGTAATGATAATGAGCGCATGCTTTTCTCTGATATCTGATTGGTTCATTTGAATTCTTACCGATACAATTCCTTCCAGTGGTGTCCAATGTGTGTCCTTGTTCACAAATACACCTGAAGGAGCCCACCGTGTTCTGACACTCACTGTTCTGACATACCATCTGGTTCAGCTCACACTCATTAATGTCTGGCAAAAGTACATGACAATGAAGTTGCTTCAGACATCTGTTCCACATAAATAACCATTTCCAAAATATTACACTTGCACTTTAACAGAAGATTACAGACAGAACAGTGCCGATTATTTATCTACTTAACAATTGCAACTTCAATCATCTCAAAAGCTGCAACAATGGGATTAGCTTTATGTTGATTGATATTCTGGGAAGCCAACAGTATAACCTTTGCCACAGGTATCATGCAAAGTTTGGAAGAAGCACAACAGTGCAAATTAATACCACAACCTCAATCATTTTTGTGATCATAAACTTAATCAACCATTACTTAAGGCCAAACAAAACAATAATTGTGCTTCCGGTTACCTGCCCCAGCCTAGCAAATCACGCCGAACCAAAATCTTTTCATTGAAAAAGAAATAAAAGTTTAAAAAAATACTCTTGCCGACCCTTATGCTTATTTCAGGGGTGTGAAATCTCTGCCTTTTTTGTTGAGTATTTTGAATTTCATTTTCCACTTTTTTGCCATCGACAGGCCAGATTTTTGTCATTTTGCACGTCCTTGTTGGGACACCGCACTGGACTGAAGCTCCATAATGCATGCGACTGAATCTACTGTACATGTACAGTACGTGCGTACAGTGATGCACATCAGTGTAGCCCGAAGCGCAAGCCTTATGTGTAAACAGCATCCTGGGACCATCTGGTCATTGTGTTGTGATTGGCTGCCAATGAAACATCAATATTCATACATGTGTCAGTGGAACTCATTACAGCCATTCCTGCGAGAGGGCAGATGTAGTGACTAACAACCTACTCTATAACTTGTGGCAGCACACATTTCACTGTAAATTTACGGCTTGAAATAAGGTTACTACATTTTCACTTTCACCAATAGAGGGTTTCGTGACAACGCAAAGTTATTGTGTCATGCATCATTGCACAGGTTTAAGAGCTCTATGTGCCTTGTTTTGTACGACCTTTCAAACATTTTTGGGACATTAACTTATCAAAATTTCAGTGCAACACAAATGTATAACTGTCCGAAAAAGCTCTGACTTGGATAAAATCTGTGACAAGATCCTCAAGTTATTAATCCGCAGAAAAAAACAGTGGATGGAAAATACACCGTAGACCATCAAAATCAATTTTTAATTTAAAAAAATCCCCACGCCAAAAGAAAAATATACTACCAAACCTATTTTTTTTCAAGGTAACGGGAAGCACATTAATTGTTTTGGTTGGCCTAACCTTATTTTCCACTGTTTCAAAATTGAACATTTTTCTACTCTCTTCAGACAAAAGAGCAAAAACCTTATCTCAAAAAGAATTTGTCTCTTATAAATATACTCCAAAAGAGTGAAAACCACTCTACAAAGAGTGAAAACGGCTCTACAAAGAGCGAAAAGCATCCCAAAGAGGAGCCATTTGAATGACAACTCTTTTCGATTGGCAATTTCACTCTTTTGGAGGGGTTTTCATTCTTTTTAGGCGATATTTACACTTTTTAGACAGCATGACAGCTGCATTCTTTCCGTAGTAGGAAGTGCCAATTTGTGCAAATGATGTCACTAGGGTTACTTTTCTGTTCATGTTTACCTTCGCATTTGCCATTCTTCAGGGTGTATCCTCTCTGGCAATCACCCAAGGACATGGGGCAAGGGTCACAGGGGCTTCCCCATGCCTGGCCAAAGGTGGCGCAGCATTCAGACTTCCTCATCAGACCCATAATGTCTGACTCACAGCGGCCAGATCGGATCTCAGTCCAGCAAGTGCCCAGACGGTTGTCTGTTATAGAAAGAGGGATTTCATTACTGTGGCGCTTTTCAAACACCACATGCAAGGCTACTTTCCAGAATGTGTAAATAATTTA